TGGTGATGGACGGTGACGGTGATGGTGGACAGTGGTAGTGGTGGACGGTGGCGGTGGACAGTTGTGGTGGTGAAGAGAAGTCGAAAAAAAAGGAGAAGATGTTAGAAGACATTGGTTAATGTCTTCTCCAAGAAGATGCCAGGAAGACCTTTTTGAGTGAAGTGTCTTCCAAAAAACAAACAATCTGCAGAGCCCATCATCTGCGCGCGTCTGCGCGGCGCAGACAAAAGATGCCAGAAGGTCTTCTGGCAGAAAAACAAACACCCCCTAAATGAGATTTAATTTCGGTCATTAATTTGAAAACTTAAACAATAATGTTATATTAATAATAATAATAATAATAATAATAATAATAATAATAATAATAATAGAGATGGTCGTTGAATTAAATAACTTTTCTAAAAAAATTACGCTTCGACTGTCTTGACTAATATTTGAATGCATTTCGAACTGAATTTAATTCGGGTAGCTAAAGCAGTCAAATCAGCTTTTATCACTTTCGTTGATTTCTAAGAGTTCAAGAGGTTAAATGAGCTTTAATTTCGGTCATTAATTTGAAAACTTAAATAATAATGTTATAATAATAATAATAATAATAATAATAATAATAATAATAACAATAATAATAATAATAGAGAGGGTCGTTGAATTAAATAACTTTACTAAAAAAATTACGCTTCGACTTTCCCGACTAATATTTGAATGCATTTCGAACTGAATTTAATTCGGGTAGCTAAAGCGGTCAAATCATCTTTTATTACTTTTGTTGATTTCTTAGAGTTCAGGAGGTTAAATAAGATTTAATTTCGGTCATTAATTTGAAAACTTAAACAATAATAATAATAATAATAATAATAATAATAATAGAGAGGGTCGTTGAATTAAATAACTTTTCTAAAAAAATTACGCTTCGACTGTCGCGACTAATATTTGAATGCATTTCGAACTGAATTTAATTCGGGTAGCTAAAGCGGTCAAATCAGCTTTTATTACTCTCGTTGATTTCTAAGAGTTCAGGATGATAAATGAGATTTAATTTCGGTCATTAATAATAATAATAATAATAATAATAATAATAATAATTTATAATAAGAATAAAAATAATAATAATAGAAAGGGCCGTTGAGATAAACAAATATCCGACTAATATTTCACTTTCCCAACTAATATTTGAAGGGACTTTATTGCCCTTATTACATGGATCACATGATTGCATGGAATTGCATGGAGTTGCATGTAAACACGAGTAACTAATATTACGGGATTACATTCTAAAACTTTTTCATATAAAATTACATAAAAATAAATAATTCCATAAAATTAGCTCGGATCGATCTTTGAGTAATTTCTTTTTGATCTCTTCAATATTTCGGTCTCTACACCAATTGCTTCCCTACACGAGATAAACCAGAAGATGTCATGGAGATAACCGGTAATGGATAAAACGGATAATGGTATACGAGATAACCATTATGACCGTTTGCCTTATCGAGATAACCAATGAAAGAAAGGTGAGAAGTTTTGATGATTGTAAAAAAATAGGCTTGTAAAATATGGAATACATTGAAGAAAGTTTGTTTATAATCTGGAGAGGGTGCAATGTATTTATAGGGAGGGGGCGTATTTGAATGTTTGAATGTATTCGAAGGAATTTTTATTTGACTAATATTTGAATGGAACCGAAGGAACTTTTACATGAATTAAGATATGTGTGAACGGTTGGCATCCAATTCTGGTAGATAAAGATATGTGTGAACGGTTGGCATTCTTAAATAAGGTTTAAATTTCGGTCTTTATTATTCACTAACGCGAATAATAATAATAATAATAATAATAATAATAATAATAATAATAATAATAATAATAATAATAATAATAATAATAATTCAATCCTAAAGGAATAAAATTTCGATCATTTCGACTATATTTGGAACGTATTCGAAGGCATGTTATAAAATAATAGATTACACGATAGAACTTTATTAAAAAAGTGGAATACGAACATCAGAATGCGATCAGTCATCTTTTAAAGTTTTCTTTAATTTTTAAGACTTAACATGTATGAATATACGTGTGAACGGTTTGCATTTAATTCAGGTAGATGAAGAGTGGTCAATTCAGATTTTATTACTCTCATTAATTTCTAAGTTTTCATTAGCTTAAATTGAATTGAATTTTGTTCATTAATAAAAACACTAAAATCAGCAAAATTGAGGAATAAAGTTTCTATCTAAAATCAGAAAAATTGAGGAATAAAAATGAGGAATTAAATTTGGAATTTCGATCATTTCGACCACATTTGAAATGTATTCGAATGCATGTTATAAAATAAGAGATTACACGATAGAACTTTATTAAATAGTGGAATACGAACAATAGAAAGTGATCAGTCATCTTTAAAAATTTTCTTTAATTTTTAAGACATAGGATTTGACTTGTTAAGTTAAAAATACGTGGTCAATTCAGATTTGCATTCAATTCGGGTAGATGAAAAGTGGTCAATTCAGATTTTATTACTCTCGTTAATTTCTAAGTGTTCATTAGCTTAAATGTGAATTGAATTTTGTTCATTAATAAAAATACTAATAAATATTCAAAAAGCGGGCCGTTGAGATTAATAAATATCCAAAAAGAATAAAATTCGACCATCTCGACGAATATTTGACCACATTTCGAAAGAGACTTTTACACCCTAAAAAAGAATTCTTGTTTTATAAATTACGTTACTTTCAATGACTAATGGAAGTTTGTTATTAAAAGAGGAGTGAAAGGAAATTATGGTGCGAAGTGAAGGTAGAACAATAATTTGTTGTTGGTGAAGGGTATCTCTCTAAACAATAAAACTTCTGAATTTTAATATAAAAAGTTTTTATTAGAAAATACATAAAATCAAACTTCAAATACGCATAAAAAAAATATTATGCGTATTTCAGGATATGGATGAGAAAATCACAACCACCAAGATGATCAAAAAACAGGACATGACTCTCATTGAGGCCGTGATTCTCAACAAACGCTGGCCATGATTCCCTGAAGAACATATTGCCATGGCTGCATGCTTGAACCTTTACTTCAAAAGTGTGTGGCGCTCGTTTAGAATGGAGAGTCACAACTGTGTTATCCAGGAAACAACATTGAACATGTTCGGGTAGCGCCTACAACAGATCCAGAGAATTTGTGAGTTATAAAATATAATTTTAAAAAAATTCAAAAAATATAATGAAAAATATATGAACAAACTAGTCGCTCTTTGAACTTGGGATCTTGCTCGAGGATTACTGTAAAATCGAACATAATGATCTTTTTTACTTTTGCAGGCAATACGGAACAGAAGAACGAGAAAACCCTAAAGCTAGTTGCGTATTTATATAGACCGAGCAAGGCGGAAAGGGACGAAATGGTAATAGACGGGAATTTTTAAAAGAGTCCTGCCATTTCATGAATAGGCGGGACGGGAAAATATAGTCCGCCATTTCATGAAGGGACGGGAAAATTTAGTCCGCCATTTCATGAAAAGGCGGGCGGGAAAATTTAGTCAGCCATTTCATGAAACCAGAAACAGTGCGACTAACACAAAATGAATAGCAATCCAGGGTGTAACTGTCGCAATTAATGAGGAGTATTATAAATAAAATAGTAAAAATCTAGAAACAAGGTCGTACCAATTATGTTCGGACTGTAGTAGAGATAGCAATCCAGTTAAGAGGATAACTGTAGCGGTAGTCGTAACAATTATGTTCGGACTTTGGACCGTGTTAATGAGGAGTATTATAAAAAAATAGAAAAAATATAGAAACAAACAATTAAGAGCTTAATTGTAGTTAAGAGAATAATGGTAACACGGTCGTACCTGTTGGTGTTAATTAGGGCTGTTCATCGGTCCAAGACCGGACCGAACCGAACCGACCCGGACCGGACCGAAGACCGAAATGAGTAAATTCTTGGACCGAAGACCGGACCTAAATCCATTCGGGTTTGGACCGGACCGGACCGAAATATTTAGGACCGAACCGGTCCGGACCGATTGGACCGAAAAAATTATATTTTTTTAATTATTTTGATCAATTAAATATATTTTAGACTTTTTACTTTGTACCATTCAAATAGAAAATGAATAAAAAAATAGAGAGCTTTAAAATGGATAAACAATATGAACTACTTCAATGTAGAACCATAAAAACAAATATGAAATGTTTTTTTTAAAGATTTTTTTAAAATTACTTAATAAAAAACACTTTAAATTAAATAAATTAAAATATTTATTAAAATAGAGCATCAAAGTGTAATACGAAATTTAAAAAGTAGAGTTTTAGTATTTAGGTCTTTTAGGTCCAGTAGGTCATTAGGTCCAACCGGTCCAATCGGTCCGGACCTAAATCATTTCGGGTTTGGACCGGACCGGACCGAAACCCGAATGCCAAAATTTTCTGGACCGAAGACCGACCCGAAATCCATTCGGTCCGGGTTCGGTCTGGACCTATCGGTCCGGTTCGGTCGGTTTTTTCGGTCCGGACCTAAATGTGAACAGCCCTAGTGTTAATAATTAAGAGCTTAATTGTAGTTAAGAGGATAACTGTAACAAGGTCGTACCTCTTGGTGTTAACAATTAAGTTCGGACTGCAGTAGAGGTAGCAATCCAGTTAAGAGGATAACTGTAGTATAGTCGTACGTGTTGGTGTTAACAATTAAGTTCGGACTGCAGTAGAGGTAGCAATCCAGTTAAGAGGATAACTATAGTATAGTCGTACCTGTTGGTGTTAACAATTAAGTTTGGACCGTAGCCCAATAGAGGTAGCAATCCAGTTACGAGCCTAACTGTAGCGGTAGTTGTAACAATTATGTTCGGACTTCGAACTGTGTTAATGAAGAGTATTTAAAAAATAGAAAAAATAATATCCCTCCGTCCTAAATTATTTGCCACATTTGCTTTTTCAACAGCCGCGGGAACTTTTGTTTATTTCTACGTTTTCATTGGTTATTTGATAAAATAAAATATTTTTGAAACCTCTTATTTCGAAGAACTTTTCATGTAGTTTTTTTATATGTAATTTTTATTTTTTATTTATTTACCAATATGTAAATAAAATGAATTGAAAAAACTTGATATTTTGCCTCGGTAATAGAAACGTGACAAATAATTTGGGACGAAGGGAGTAATAACAAGTCCCCCCAACAACATTATTGGTCCACAACAATATTGCTCAACACAACAGTAATGTTCCTACTTGTAAAAATTACAGTCAACATTATAGAATCTGAGAATTGGAAATGTAGTACGGTTCCGTACTTCTCCAAAATGTACAAAATTAGAGATACGACAAATATAGACAAAATTTTGTTAAATATAGATGAAATTTTGTAATTTTCTGTGACTCCCCCGCCACATTTATGTTAAATGAGAATTGAAAAGTCAAAATTTCTCATAAATTCCAACCTTTATCTTTTTCTTCTTCTTTCCTCGTCGCTTCCGCCGCTTCCAACGCTTCGGCCGCGACTCCTTCTCTCTAAAATCTTTTCTTCATACCTTCACGAACATTCTCCAAGCCGCTCTGAGTAAAAACATGCCGCAATCAGATTTCGTGGTGGTCATCAAAGGGGATGCTTATACCGGCACGGTAAGAGGTCATTTGAATGCATATGACTAACTCATGCATGCTTGCCTTTAAACTCGATTTCATGATTTACATGTCATTGCTTCTCGCTATCATCCACGGGAGGAGAGATTGGATATATATATATACTCGGATTGGGTGCTATCCAGTCCAAGTTGTTCTTGGAGATGACGGCAAGCATCGATTCGCTGCCGAGAATGGATGGAGACACTTTCTGTATGACCACCAATGCAAAAAACTTTGGCATATTCTGTTCATAAAATTATCAGAGACAGCATACACAGCCATTGTGATTTCGACCCTTGGTTCAGAAGTTGACTATCCAATAAGAATTCCTGATTATGATTCTGGTAAGACTTTCAAATATGGTATATTTTACCCCCCCCCCCCCCCAAATTCTTGCTAATTATAACTGTAATGTATGCGGTGATTTGTAATTATCAGATGCAGATGATGTTACAGATGATGATGATGACGTGTTTGTTTGCAAGTTGGAAGAATCACACTTTCGGGAGTCATCCCAGAAGCCGGAATGCTTTTTTAGTTATAGATGAATTTTTGGAATACATGGTGTAGTTTCCTCCATCAATTAATGAGTTTTAATCCGTTATTGTCTCAACCCTTAAGTGAAGAATTTCTTGAAGCAAATGGCTTTGTAGAGGGAAAAACAGATGTCACTCTCATACGACCCAACATGCAGCCCGTGGTGTGCACACTCAAGGTTGATTGTATTGGTGATGGGTTCCTGAAGAGAATGTGGCATTACTTTGTTGATTCGAATGGTTTGCGGGTTGGGGACAAGCTAGTGATGAGGCCGGTTGGGAACAACACCTTTATGGTGGGAGTTTACCGTCATCACAGACGGTAAACAACAATTAATTTAATTGTTTTTAATGTGCTTGTATAACTCTTTTACAGGTAAATTACGCATCTTACTTTTACTTATTGGACAATTCGACCAATTTGACCTTTTTGACCAAATTCGACCAATCACAATTTTTAGATGGAGTAGGTGTTTCACGGATAAATAAAGGTTAGAATATTTTAGGTAAATTTCTTTTTCTTGTTTTTTAATTTCTAACATTAAATTTAAATATATTTTTAATAAATGATTTTTTAAATAATACTCCCCCCAAAATTAGAAAGGTTTCTTGTATTTATTGAAAAATTAAAAACATTACTAATTCCCGAAAAAACATCCAGAAGTATCATTACTTGGACTTTTTTGTTAATAATAGTATAAGAACATCCGAAACTAAACATATTTTTAAAATTAAATACGCGTGGGCTATCAACAGAGTTTCGACTACTAAAAAGAATTTCGAAATAATTCGACAAGCTTTCGACCCTTCCCAAATAGACCTTTTCATGCACTTTTTTATTACAAATCATTAAATGGTGTTTCAAAACAATAAATGTATATGTTACACTACTAGAAATAATTTCGATGTAATCCAAACTATTGCGACCACTACCAAATAGACCTTTTAATATATTTTTTGTTTACAAATTATTGAAACTATTTCGACCACTACCAAATAGAATTTCGACGGAGTTGACGGAGTTTGCCCTTATCAGTGACTTAAACTGCTCAGAGTTGAATACGTAGTTCGAAGCATAATATGATGTGAATGCTCGGAAAAAATTTCTTGAAGATCACTTCCCTATGGTACTTAGTTGACAAAAAGTGTATTGGAGTACCTATCCGGTACTCCAAGGACTACAAACCAAAGCATTCCACACCATCCCAATACTCAGTAAGGAAAAATACGTTTTCCCAATAATATTTGAAATGCAGGATCAACTCGGGCAATAGTTGATAAAAATCTGCTACTTCATGCCAACCACTTTTCACCATAAACGTTCCCTCCTGCCGGCGTTCTAGTTGAACAATGAACTTCTTTTTTGCGGGCTAGAGTATACTACCAATTCGTCCAGGTCGCACAAATACCTCGCAGCCGAATCCGGGATACGCTGGTTGTATTGGAATTCTCTTTAGTGATAAAGAATTAAAAAATAAGTAATTGCACTAGGTATGATAACTTACCAGTTAATAGTTCGGGTCTTGCCTGTCATTATCATCTTCCTCTAGATATATGACGAAAGTTTTTGGCATTTTAAGAGAAATTTCTGTGAATAAAGATAAGCAATTGCACTAGTAAAAACGAAATTTTGATACACACACACATATCTATATATGCATTACCGCAGGAGTTATATTAAATGCATTCAAACCCTCCTAAATGCATTCAAACCATATTTGTATTTCCCCAACTACTCATATACCGTCCTAAATGCATTCAAAACCTCCTAAATGCATTGAAACCATATTTGTATTACCCCACCTACTCATATACCTACCTAAATGCATTCAAATACTCCAAAATGCATTCAAACTATATATGTTAAAAAAAGAATTAGCTTGTTTAAATATGTGCATAACATGCCTTCGAATACGTTCCAAATATAGTCGAAATGATCGAAATTTTATTCCTCTAGGATTGAATTATTATTATTATTATTATTATTATTATTATTATTATTATTATTATTATTATTATTATTATTATTATTATTATTATTCGCGTTAGTGAATAATAAAGACCGAAATTTAAACCTTATTTAAGAATGCCAACCGTCCACACATATCTTTATCTACAGAATTGAATGCCAACCGTTTACACATATATTCATTCATGTAATTAATTACTAATTAGAGTGTAAAAGTCCCTTCGTTCCATTCAAATATTAGTCAAGTAAAAACCCCTTCGAATACATTCAAACATTCTAATACGCCACCCTCCCTGTATATACATTGCACCCTCTTTGCATTTTAAACACACTTTCTTCAATGTATTCCATATTTTACAAGCCTATTTCTTTACAATCATCAAAATTTCTCACCTTTCTTTCACTAAAAAATACGTGTTCAGTTATGTGGGAAAAACACTAAAATAGAATTCATATTTTTATATTTCAAAATGACACAAAACAAGTCATATTTTGAAATTAAAACCATGAAACATGCATTTTTGATATTTTCTATATATTTAAAAATTACCAATATTTGACACAATCAATTTCATAAATTCGACTGCATTAGAATTATTTTTATTCGAAATATTCGACTATCACAATTAGCTTTTCGATTGTAATTCGAATTTATTTCGATCACATAGAAAGCATTTTGACCTCTCTTCGAATACAATTAAATGCAATCAGTATTATTCAAGTCATTCGTCATAGATGTGTCTTTACGAGGTCTCTTTGCGCATGTCCGTACTGTATGCCCTTTTCCTTGGCAACCAGAACATGTCAATTTATATTTTTTTCGTGCCTCGTCGTCTGATGAAAATCTCTTCTTTGTTGGCCTTCCTCTTTGCTTGTTCAATGTAGGGGGTTTGACTTCTATGAGCTCCATTCCATCGGCATCCTAGTCATCTTCATGTGGCACGGGGTAGATTGTTTCCGCGTATGCGATATACATGTATTCCTTTGTGTAGAATTTACTACACATGCTATAACAATCTATGCATGTGCGTTCTGAACAAGCGAGTGCATGCACGCAAGGTATCTTATCCTTGTCAAACACTTGACAGGTGCAAGTTTTATTTGAAAGGTGAACGACATGGTCAGAGTGCACTCCCTTGACTTCAAACTCGTTTTGATTCAACTGATGACACTCCAAGCGCAAGGCAGTGTTGAATCTATTGCGCATTTCAGCTTCAACAGCTGGGGTAACGGGGGGATTTGACTCATCGAGAGACCTTAACTTTTGTTGCCTTTTTCCACGCCATCTTGAAGTCATGTTCTGGATTGCTTTTAAAAGTGCAACAATAGGAAGTTCTCTGTCCTCCCTCAACACGCTATTGATTGATTCGGCGCCATTTGTCGTCATGATTTGGTACCGGTTTATTTCAAAATACGCCTTGGCCCATCTTTTCTTTGGGATCTTGTCAATGTAATTGCCAGCAGTTGGGTACCTTGCTTTCAAGTCGCCATACAACCTCTTGAATGACCGTTTGGTGTATGCTTTTGCAAGGTCCTCAAAAAGTTTATCCAACCCCTTTTTGCACATCTTTGGAAAACGCTTCCTCAAATTACAAGTGATGTGATACCTACACACTCCATGATCCATAGCCGAATAGTGCTTTCTTATCCCATTTCGAATGCTAATGTGTCTGTCCGAAATGAACACCAAGTCTCCGGAATAAGGAATTAACTTCCTTAAATGACCAAAAAACCAAGAGTATGAGTCATTGTTTTCAGAGTCCACAATAGCCCAGGCAAGGGGATATTGGTGAAAGTCACCATCTTGAGCCGTTGCAATGAGTAAAACACCCTTATAGGATGTCTTAAGAAATGTGATGACACGCCTCATTGCTTGAAATCCAGAAATACATGCATGAAATGCTATGAATACATACTTGAAAGCACCCCCCTCATCAAGTTCTAGGTGGGTTGTTACAAGATCATTATTTGCTTTCTTCAACATGTGCAAGTATAATTGTAGCTTTTTGTAACTTGTAACACCCCAACCCGCGTAACCTGAAACCATGAGTTAGCGAATCGGATTGTTACGAATTTGGTATTCACATGTATAATATTTTTAAACACTTAGAAGTAAAGCGAACATTTATAATTATTTAAAAACAATTCATCATTTAATCGGAGTAAATATCTAAAATGTTGCGGAAGCCTTTAAAACAACATCATCAAACATCTTGTTTAAACAAAATAAAAGTCAACAAGTATTTAATTCAATTTTAAATAGCTTCGGGCCATCCACCAGCGTCACGTTTCACTGTTCTCCAGGCTGCTCCTCATCCAATCCTTGATTCCTATCTGTAAAAAAAGGGAGAGTGGAAGTATCTAACACTAAAACTAACTCATAGACTAGTACCCATTAATATATGATCAAACAATATCAGAAGTATCAGCAAATATCGTTATCCAACTGTATATGATCAAATAATTCAGATTAGTTCTTTTACATACTTACTCCATCTGCCTGCTAGATATAATCCAATTCATACTTACGGGAGTAATGAAATCCAGGCTCTCGCCCAAACCCACACTCATAACTCCAAAGCTCTCGCAATGGAGGGGGTTGAGGCCCCCGCTGGCTCTCTCCAGGGGTCAATGACCACCGTGAGCACGTTTTTAACCCTCGAGACCACCGAATGAACGACGTCACCCGCATGACCTATATCTTCTTTAATCTAATTACCGATTTCCAATATGCAATTTAACTAAAATTTGACAAGATATAGTAGGTTGCCTGTTTCACAATTTGAATTCAACATATACTATTAACACCAATTTATTATTTTAACAAACTTAGGTAATTTATGGTTATTTAAGGTCAAAGTATAGTGAAGGCTCAATTTGCAAACTATTTTAGATTCAGGGCCAATTTGCAAATAATAAAACTATTTCTTTTAGTTCTTAAATAAAACAACAGAGGTGCGCTGCTCTTCCCGCACCAGCGGACCCGATGAAGCAACATGGCCGGAGCAGCAACCTTCAGCGACCAGCAGCGAACAGAACCCGAGCGGAGGAACAGCGTACAGAGCAGGGAGCCTCCCGCCGGTGTTCCCAGTTCCGGCGATCAACAGGGCAGGAAACAGAATAGAACAGAACAGAACAGAGAAAGGAAAGAACAGAACGGCAAGAACGAATTCGTAAATCTCATATTCCAAGCTTAATTCAATTCAACACATTCAAAAATCGAGATTGCGAATCCAACGACAATTGATTGAAAACATATTAACAAATACTAATCTACAAAACAATTTTAACGAGAGAAACCACCACTCACCTCAATTCGATCGACGAAGAATCTAAGTGTCGACTAGATTCCGGCGAAGAACCCTGACAATGTCCGGCGAAGCTTTCCGGCGATTCCTCTGCTCTGGAGTCTGGACGATAGTTGCGTGGGAAGAAGAAGAGGGAACGATTATATACGGAGTACATAAATTCCTATTCGTAACCGAAACACATTTCTTCCCCCCCCCTTGTATTTATTATTGTTATTATTATATTATTAAATTTCTTTACATTAATTTATTGAGCTCTATTCACTATTTCCCTCACTACGGTTCACACGAAATTCCAAACTTGACAAATAATATACCGTTGTTCACCTTTTCTCGAGACCTACCCAAAAACCTAATTTTTAATTAAAATGGTCAACTTTACAAATAATTCATATTTTGAAGTCAATTAATAATACATTCATTTTTATTAAAATAACTGCTAACTACTAAGCCAGGTTTCAAGGCGTTACACTTACATAACTAGTCTCGGGCATCCCAAACATGGCTTCATTTGCGAACTTCCTACTCCACCAAGCCTTTGCATATGTGATCGACATGCTCTTGTTTTTCATGAAAGTCGTGATGTTTTTGGGCCTAATTAAATCATTTGTACCATCAAAACTCTCTAAAATTAAATCTGACACATATCTCGAAGTTGTTTGGTTGTGTGTTCGGCTACGGTCACCAACTGTACAAATATGTTTCGCGTTGTATTTTTTAATAGCGAATCGAGATGTGTTTTTTACGATGGATGCCATCATCATCCAAGAGCATTTGTCACTCTTGCATTTCAACACATACCTCTTCTTGTCGCTCTTCACAGTCTTTGTTTCAAAATGTCCTTGTATGGAAACATCAGTCATCATCTTCTTCAACTCTCTTTTGTCAGCAAACTCAAGTCCGATGGCCAAATCCGACCCATCTTCAAAGCCACCATCCAATGTCGCGTCTACCTCATTACTAAAAGACGTATCAAAAGAAGGATCATCCCTCCGAATAAAGCACTCGTCCTCATTTAACTCATCATTATCACCACCCATATAATCATCTTCATCCACTTGAGCAGTTGATGGGCTCTTCACATGAGTGGCATTAGACTCAACGAATTGAGGATTTTGATCACACCTCCCAGCATTTTCCTGAAAAACAATACCTTCATGATCGTGCTTAGATTCTTGATCAGCAACAATCATACAATTGAAGAAGTCATCCTGGACACAATCAATCAGATGAACGAAGGGGTCAATTGCTAGTTGCAATCCCAAGAGTTCTTCTTGGACTTCTTGTATTTGCTCTTCTTGTTCTTTTTCTTCACGTTCAACTGGAACCATCTCAACATGCAAGGCTGTAAAGTTTTGCTTTAATTCCAAAAGAAATACATGTAGTGTTTCACTTGAATCGGTGGAAAAGGGTGGAATATTTTTTTCAAGCCGGTGAATTTGAAATGTAAACATAATGCCCTTCGTGATCTGTGGTCCACTTTCCACCGTAAACAACATATAATATAACAGGATCTGTACCCATCTGCAATCGAAACAACATAAACAACATATAAACAACATAAAATATCACATTTAAGTGTATTCGAAATTCGTCGAAAGAACGTTGAATAGTCGAGACCAATCAAAATAACATCAAATATTCAAAAACATCATAATCATATTCGAATATTCCCTAACACTATGTTTGGTTCAAGGAATTTGATAGAGAAAAGAAAAGAAAATTAAGTGGAAAATAAGTTTTTTTTGCTTGGTTAGAGAGGAAAAGAAAGAAAAAGTGGAAAGAAAAGAAAATGAGAAGGCAAAATGTACTAAGATGAGGAAAACCAAAATTTCTCCCATTTTGGTGAGGAAAATGAGAGAAAATCATTTTCTTTTCTTTTCTTACCAAATTTCTTGAACCAAACATAGTGTAAATGTTCGTATGGATATCGAAATGTTTTCGCAAATTATGTTCGAATAGGGTTTATTTCGGAGTAGGGTTTATTTCTATCTTAGATATGTAGGGTTTACCATAAGATATGTAGAATCATAACACAATTGGCTCAATTAGAGTTTTCCGTGAAAAATTACTCCTCCGTAACTCTTTAGTGTAAAGAAAAATTAGGGTTTGTAATCAAATTTGGGGGTATCGAAAATTAGGGTTTACCGTAATCTCTTTCTGCTCTTTTTCCTCCTTCTACGCTACGCAATAGCTTCTAAACGCGTTCCTCAATCTTATCGTTTTGCTCTGCTTTCAATTACGTTGCCGATTTGCAGAGCAAGTGTGTAGTGTGCGTCTGATTGAGGAGCTGGAGGGGAAAACTGAAATAGTTGAATTCGGGTCGGGTCAAAAAGGGGAGAAATCGTTAAACGGCTATGGAACGTAATTAGATTCTTTCGACAATAACTTTCGAAGAATAGGGGTAATTTGGTAATTTCACATAGTAATTTTTCGGGCCAGTGGGGTAGATAGAGGGAAGTCTCCGCACTCTTACAAACCGCCCCTGATTTGCCATCGGTAATCTTCTCCGCCGGTGTTCACCGGCAGTTTGTTGACACGCAGGCCAGAAATCGATGCATTAAATATAGATTAGCGCATGCCGCGGTGAATCGCATAAAAATGTTAAGATCGAAGCTCGATCTGAAACGTCTTTCATAGGTAAGAAATGAAAACTTTAATTTTAGTTCTTTTTATTGAAAGATCGTATGTTTACACTTCATGTATCAATCGGATCTATATGAGGTTGGGCGTATATTAAAATTAAAGATTTTAATATAAATTAAGCTTAAATAACAAATAATTTTTAAAAATTGTGTTCTTATTGTGCTTCTCGCATCTGGTTTTGCATCTGGAAGGGCATAGAGCTCTTGGCTCTAAAGATCTGACAATTTTTTTTGTTCCTAATTCAGCGGGAAGGTTATTGTTTCTTTTTTCTAGGTGGTTAAATAAAATATCATATTTTGAGAAGTAAAAATCCATCTTTTATTGGAGCGAATCCACTAAACTTAAGTTTCTGTCAGGGATATTTATTTCACTTTTGGGTGCAACATTTTTTCTTCTAGATACACTGACTGTTTTGGTCTCTACCACTTGTAATGGGTAATTGTCACGTGCTATAGGGACCAAGTTCCATTCTTTGTCCTGTAATTAAGTGATTTCAACCTATTTTTGCTGCAATGGTATACTTTGTGTATGAAGCTGGAATAACTTGTAGACTTTAGAGGCTATGATGATAGGTTTTATATGTTTTCTCATAATGAGCTTACTGAAATTAAGGAAATTGATAGGTATCTTGGCGTGGCTCCCTGCGTGGCAGGAGCAGCCATGGCGTTATCATAACCTTTTTCTTCAAATGAGTATCTAAATAGTGAATATCTTAGCCTCTTTATATTAGCTTGAAATGGTAATTTTCCTGGCAAGACAGTATCCTCTAATTCTGCCATTATAAAGACAGTCATAGTTGGTCCACTTAATTGATTTCATCCTCTTTATAAGGCAATGGGATACTTTGTAAAATTAAGAGGTTATGAGGCTGTGATGATTGATTTTATATGTTTTATCATATTTTGTTTTTTGAAATTAAGGGAATAAAACGTATCTTGGCGTGGCTACGGCCTAGCGAGAGGCAGCCATGGCGTTATCATAAACTTTTTCCTTGTAATGAGTATATAAATCGTGTAAATCTGAACCTCTTTATAATCCCTAATTGAAATGGGCATTTGTGAACTACTCTGGCTTGGTTTTATATAGTAGATTAGATGCCATGTACTGAAAATTCTACTGTGGGTGTATTTTGGTTTTGTCAAGGAGTGATTGTATATATTTCTGCACTTATACAGACTGCTACAATTCTGAAAATGATACCTGGATTTTGTTTTTTCTGATTGTACATTTCTCTGGGCTGTCTGTGAAGGTGTAATAATCGGAACAATAAAGAGGCTGTGATGATCTCTTTTATATGTTTTATTTTATTTTGATTAATGAAATTAAGGAAGTAATACGTAGCTTGGCTTGGTTATCTGCACAGCTAGAAGCAGCCATGGCGTTATTATTCTATTTCCTTGTAATGACCATATATATAGTGAATATCTGAGCCTCTTTGCACCAGCTTTGAAATGGGCCACAAAGCTAATGGTGACTTAGTTTGAATGATGTATGGCATCCTGGACTTTTACAGACTACTCCATTTCTGCAAATGATACCAGGATTTTATACTCTTCTGATTATACAGACTGCTCCATTTGATGAACCAAAATTTTGATACTGTCTTGCCTCAGGTCATTAAAGACATGGTCAGTAAACTTTTGATGCGTATCCCAGTATTCTTAGACATTGGATCAAAAAATTTGCCGGGAAAATTGATGAATGAAATTGGAACTGATTTTTCCATTAGCTTTTATATATGGGCCTTATACTGGAATTACATAATGCTCATTTCAAACTTTCAAAGTAGTAAATTTTTTTGTTTGTGAGGCTCTTTTTATTACCTCATTTGAAATGCTTAGAGGATACTGTCTTGCCCTAGGTCAGCAAAGCTCATGATAACAGGATTTTATCCACTCCTGATTGTATTTTTCCCTGGGTTGTCTGTGATGCTGGATTTAGTTGTAGACTTTTGAGGCTATGATGATAGACTTGAGCATACTAGATTTAAGGAAATTGATACTGGAATTACACATTGCTCTTTTCTGCTTTTGAAATGGCATATCCTGAGATGGGAGGAACACCTCAAGTGACAATTATGAAGATTCAAAGAAATTAAATTGGGGCAGTGGGTGATTCATTGGCCTGAAGCTATTATGAAATTGGGGCAGTGCCTAAATTGTGGCAGTGGCAGTATGAGTTGATTTGTTAGTACAGTTTAGAAATACTGGCTTGGTTTTATTGTGTAGATTAGATCCCATGATTCTGTTTTGTCCAGAAGTGATTGTATATGTTTCTGGTTTTTAGATTTAACGTGGATGTGCCATGTGTATCCCAGTATTCTTAGCCATAGGATCAAAAAATTGATGAATGAAATTGGAACTGATTTTTCCACCAGCTTTTATATATATAGTAGAAAGGCATGTTAACACTATCAGGAGGGCGTTTTCTGTGAATTTGTGACATAGTTGCGAAGTTGAATGCAGGTGTATGAAGTTGTAAACTTGGAGTAAAATGGAAGGAGGGATTGAAGGGAGTGAAGAGGAGGCGATGCAGCAGCATCCTAAGGTGCATTACCTGCCGGAGCACGATGACCACCATCACCATGGGTTTATGAGCAATGGGGACGTGATGGAGCACGATGATGATGGTGGTGGTGATGGGAATGGAGGGAGCGGAGGGAGTGACTGTATGGAGGGCGATGCTAATGGGAGTCTGTTGGACAATCATAGTGCAATGGTAGTTCACGGTGGAGCTGAAACTAATAATCAGCTTACTCTCTCATTCCAGGGACAGGTCTATGTGTTTGATTCCGTATCTCCTGAAAAGGTAATTTGGATGCTATGCGTAATACAATTGCATTTTGCGGCATCATTTTTCTTTAAATCAGTTTGCCCATGTTTTGAGTTGAGTTGACTGTGACTTATTTTTTTCCTATGAAGTTTTGAATTTAATTTAACCCAAGTGTGCAAAGTTTAAATTTGTGAAATGTGGAGTGCATGGTCAAATGATTAGTCACTTGAATGTTTATGTGTATCTTAAGGATTTATTTGGCTTCTAATTTTTTTAGAATTGGAGCTACTCTATTAACCTATCAAATGTATCAAAACATGCTCTTAAATGCTGCTTGGGCCTTTATCATAGTTTAGATAAGCATTTTTATGCTAATAAAACCCTTCATTGAGCGTGTTCTTTAGAGGTTGGTTTTTCTGAAAAAAGAACTAATTTCCTGGGAAACTGAAGATGTTTCCCACCACTGCTTGACTAGCTTATTTGTTAGTGTAAATGACACTAAACTTATATATAAAGGTATTTCAGCAAATTAATCAACACATTGAAAGACATAACTTTCAACCAAGCAAGGTAATATTAAATTCTCATGATCTCAACTAAACACAGTAGTTAATCTCACATTTTATTTTTTGGTGGTAATCCTATAGGCAATGGTTATTTGAAATAAGTGGAACCAAATTCACCCTACATGAGGTATTCCTAGTTGTTAGACAAGTATACTGCCCATTTATGGTGTGGTACTCTTGTTGGTTGAAGTATTAACACAAGTTAATTACTGAATTTGATGTTGAGGATGGAGGAGGTGGGGGTGGTCATGTGGTTGGACTTGGACTGCCAACATATCCCCTCCCCAATATCTGATGGGTTGATCCATAAAAGTGGTGAGGATGCATCATTTGTGTACATGTGGTTTATACTTCTGTATTTTTCTAGATCTTTGATTATCCTTTGGTAAAGGATTTATTTATCTTAAGTTCATTTTTTAGGTGCAAGCCGTGCTCTTATTACTAGGTGGACGCGAGGTCTCTCCAACCACCCCTATACCTATGCCTAATCAAAATTATAGAGTAAGAAAAGCCTTAACTTTGACAAGTTTCCTAAATAATGCTCAAGTTAGAACTACCCTTTTGCAACTTTTACAATCTAGCTGACAGTTAAGTTAATTTCTACAGGGTGTACCTGCTGCACCTCCGAAGCTTAATGTTCCCCAAAGAATTGCCTCGTTAATTAGATTTAGAGAAAAGCGTAAAGATCGGAATTTTGAGAAGAAAATTCGATACACTGTCCGAAAGGAGGTTGCTCTCAGGTAAGGGAATTACAACCCCCCTCCCCCAAAAAAAACCCATGTTAGTAAGCTAGTCAATTGTAAATGTTCTTAGTGCGCACTGGATGTATGAATTTAGGGCTAATA